AATAGTAGCTTATTTTTGGGTATAAGATGTTTTTACGTTTTTTTTCAAAAAAAAAAAGGTAGCTTATTATTGGAGGTGGCTTATTTTTGGCAATATATGGTATACTTTTCTCATCTATTATGAAATAGATGACTTCTTCTAACCTCTTTTGTAGTTTTTTTTAATTTTTCACTATTAATATTTAATTTATTATCTCTATCATTTATTGCAAGTGATAGTATCAAATAGATCATTATACTATTTATATTGAAGGTTGCAGCATCTGTTGAAGCAAGTACAAGTACTAGTAATTTGGACCTGACTTCTGCTATCTGATGAAGCAAATATCTAATTGCTTTTATAAGGTATGACTTATCTATCTCTGCTGTCTCTATTATTATTATTCTTAGTAGCTCAACTTGACAACCTGCGAGTATACTACAATAATGAGATTCAATTCATTTAAACACTTTTATTTGTTTTTTATTCAAGGTTTGTGGGTCTATAATCTCCATATCTAAATTCTTATTTTCTTTTATTTGACAACTATTGTTAGAAGCTTGTCGTATAAAAGTATCAGCATTTGCAAGGTCAGTATCAGAATAGCATTGTCTAGCAATCTTAATCCATCTATGAGTCATATCTATATTACGAGATCCCAGATCACAAGAATATTCAATAGTAGCATTTGGATCTATTTCTGCTAATAATATTCAATCTAATTAAAATCTTTTTTGTTTATTATCATCAGGTTGTTCGCTCTGATCATTATCTTCATCACTCATATATTCAACTTCTTCTTCATCTACAGAGGGTCCAAGCAAGTTAATTAGATCTATATTAATCTCTTTGTAATAATATTCATATAAAGTTGCCTATCCAATGGTACTATTTCTAGTAAGTTGCTTAATATCTCTATGCAGAATATGCAGAAGAACTTTCATATAGCAGAACTCCTCTCATTAGGACTATTTCGTAAGGGTGATAGTTGTAAAAAAATACATATTATATTTTCTTTTTCATTTTTTTCTACTGATTTTTGGTAAATTTATGTATTAAATTAAGCTGAAATAATAAGAAACTCTCAAATTCTGCAGGCCTTTCTTAATATAAATTTAGAGGTGATTTTACAGTATATCCTATATTATCAGTTCTATTATATTCACTATCTTCTCTGCTACTAGTACCTTGAAGCTATCGTGATGTGTTCTTATTAAGGTTTACTAAGATAAATGAATAACTTGAGTGATAAAAAGATATACCTAGAAGAAAATGATATGTTTTTTGAGCAAACATATCACATTCTGCAATGCTATGTAGTAGTAGCTTTTAAACTAAGAAAATTATTGGGTTGTAGGGCTGCTATTTCGAAAGATTTGATTTAAAATCTCTGAGAAGGCTGCTGATTGTGGTTCTGCTTTGCTTGTATACTTTGAGATATATTGTAAAGCAGCATATATACTAAGAATTAGCTTGATATCTATGTTTACTCTTCAGCCCTATAATTGAAATCAATTGTGTGGATTAATTAATGGATCATTTCTTGCTATAATGACTTCTGGTCTATCATGACCATCATATATAATAATATAATCGATACTATTCTTCAGGTATTCAAACCTACAAGATTGTTGACCTGCTTAGTTTATATGAAGATAGTATAAAGGGCTACAACGTGTATCTTTGTAACTTATTAATTAATTTGTAATTTTGCAAATTATTATTCAGTTTATATTGACTTTTTTAACAAGGATAGTACTCTAGAATTGGTGAATTAACTCTTGGGTTAACTATGGTAGCCAAACTGTTGACATATTATACTATTTCTTCTATTGCATTTTCATCATTTTTTATCTTTATCCAATTAATTAAAGGTGTATTTCTTCTTTTTCCGATTTCATATACATGAATACTGCCATGATATTGCTATTTGAATCAATATTACCAATCTTCCAGATCTCATTGTTTTTTTAACATATTATTAAAAAGGTTTTAAATTGCTTGTTGAAGTACCAAGCAGCAAGATGAGGATTATCAATCATGTTTTGATTGTATTGATTCAGTTACTTCAACAGAATTTTTGCTAGATATAAACTTATGAAATTTAGGTTAGTATATATTAGCTACACTAAATATAAAAAACACAAGCCTACATGAACCTATTTGTTTAATCATATCTATCAGTTTATATCCTTGTAATGCCCAAAACTGCTAAAATCTACATAACTCTTCTCTGTATCTTATTATACGATCAGCAATATATTTATTATTCTATGCAATCATATCCTAAATATCTTTAACAGTAAGTTGTTTATTGTTAAATTTTTGCTTAACATATATCTTTCTTTCTTGTAATGCTCACTATCGTATTATAAAATTTAATATAAAGTACCACTAGCGTGTATAATATATGAATCTTTCATACTTATACTGAAGTAAATGCTTGAAATATTTAGCTGGATTTATATCTCTAATGCATTCTGATCAAAGATCAGCATATCCTGTAGAATAAAGAGTTGAAAATATACATGCAATATAGCCTGGCATTCTGAATTCGTTAATAGAAGTGAGTGCTTTCTATATTTGGCTAGGCTATAGTATTATCATTACTTTGCATATAATTAAAAGTTTTATTGATATTAATATCTTCACAATTAACTAAAAAAAGTAATGAAACAAAGGAGTATGTAATTATATTACCTCAATTTTATTATCTGAATCTTCTAAATTTATTTTATTATTTATAACCTGATTGTTGATATAATCATTTGTAAGTAAAGACTGAATAACTTTTTTATCAATAGTAATTTTAGCATAATATCAGTTATTTTCTTTTAACTATATTAATGCACTAACTACTTTATTGCGATGAACTTGGAAATCTCTAAATAATTCAGATCTTGTAGATTGACAATATATAATTAACACATCTAATATAATAAATATTTTGAAAGGCAAGTAATAAATTCTTGCATATTCTGAAGAAAATTTATTATATTTCTGTGATAACTATACTGTCTTTTACAAAGTTTATAAACTAATATTACTGAGAACACCTGTGCTATTAGTATTTCTTTTATTTCTGTCAGACCTTGCAACTCCTCAGGTATTTTATCTGGATCTATATCATTTTCTACAGAGAATTTCTTTGGTAACATCTTTTCACTGTAATATCAACTATATTTTTTCAAAATAATACTTATTGATAGAAAATTTTCATTATATACAAGACAAAAAGAATATTTGATCTTATCTATTTTATTTTAAAATTTACAAAGTAGATTTTTATCAAGTTTACTAAGAACAGCAGAAAATAGTAGTTCAATAGTAGTATCAATTTGTGACTACCTAGGCCTTTCTTAAAAATTCATATTTTGATTTTCCTGTTCAATAGCATTTGTCATGCTTGCTTAATATATTTGCTTATTATCATTTTTCTTAGCTATAAATTTTCATCTTTGGTGATTTCAATAATTGTTACGGTGATTTTTAAGATATGCATTTTGTGCTTCTACTGTCTCTGCAGCTCATTTTTTGCACTTCTTTCATGATCTTGTATTCGTTGCATTTTGCATTGATAAGAAGTTTTATTTATTCTTTCTTTCTGATTTTTTGTATGCTGTGTGAACCATTTTAACTAGCCATTTTGTAACTACACAGCCTTTTCTCAACTTTAATTAAATAAAAAGTTTAAATACTATAAATTATATATTATGTTTTTTTTTTTGTTAACAATCACCTAATCTTGTACCTATAGTTAGTGGTAGAACTACTGAATTACGTTATTTCAATATTTTACTATATGATAGAATTAATTATAGCATAGTATCTAATTGTTATAAAGATTATATACTGTAATACCATAATGAGATATCATAACAAAAATATAATACTTTTGTTATACTTCATCCAAGATAAAACCTAGCATATATTCACATATTATATAATTCTGTCAAAATGTGAAATATTCTTTTATTAATATTTTATATTTAATAAATTCACTAATTAATAAAAGTTAATTAGAAATTTATTTAATATAAACTATTAGGCAATTCATATAAAATAAAGTGATAACATTATCATCTCACAAGAGAGTTATATATCAAAATAGAATCTTGTTAAATTTAAAGGATATCTAAAGTAGAGGCAAATCATATAATCAACTACCAATCAAATTATAGAATTTTAATGATCCTTAGTGAAGCAAAACAAAAAATAAAAACCAAAAACCTGAAAAATATAAAAAATGGCTGTCTAAACCTACCTTGGGTAGATTAATCAAAAATATCAGGAAGACAATTTTGCTTATATTTAACTCCTTAAACCCTATCCTAACCCTAATTTAGGATAACCCTAACCCTAAAATTAATCAATAACATTATTAAAAAATATGAGTGTCTCTGCTTTAGATATCTTCTAAATTTAGAATCTACTTAAATAGATTTTAAATATATTTTATTTACTTTAACAGAATTTTGATAACCAATACAAAAAAAAAATAAAATAAATTGAGGCAAACGTTTATAAATATTCAAAACCAAAAATTTTTTTAAATGATTTGTTGTTTCATTTGAAATGCGTAATTACTGTATTCTTCTAAAAATAAGCTACCTTTAAAAAAAGCTACACCCTTTTCTCTTGGAGGAAAAATATAAACACCTTTATTCTGAAAATAAGCTACTTCTATAATTTTTTATTAATCGCAAGTAGTTTTTATATATAAAAGTTAAAATATTACTAAGTAAATCGATATAAAATCAACTTTATCCCAAAAATAAGCTACCCTATATTTTTTGTATAACTTTTTTGCTAAAAAAAGATAGCTTATTTTTGGAAGAATACAGTAATAAATTAGATACAATATTGTTATCAGACTATAAAAATTTATTTATAATTTAAGTTATATAATAATATATATAACTAGAAATATGTTTACATTAAAATAAACTTTTAAAAAATTAATCTTAGATATACAGGCTTTATTGTATTTCGATATAACCCACCTGTAAGAAAGAAATATGTAGTAGTTAAATGTATTCAAGAAATCAACTAATACAATATATACATAGTAGCTACCCAAATCCAGAAGCATAATTCTAAATGAAGAAGTGATAGAGAAAGATCAAACCTATCTGTAAGAAAGAAATAGGTAGTAGTTAAACGTATTCAGAAAATCAACTAACACAATATATATGTAATAGCTACCCAAAGCTATAAGCATAATTCTAAACAAAGAAGTGATGAAGAGAAAGATCAAACCTACCTGTAAAAACAAAAAGGGTGTAATTAAACATGTTGAGAAAATCAACTAACAAAATATATATATAGTAGCCACCCAAAACTAGAAGCATAATTCCAAACGAAAAAGTGATGAAAAGAAAAATCAAACCTACCTATAAGAAAGAAAAGAGTGTAGTTAAATATGTTCAGGAAATTAACTAACAAAATATATATATAATAGCCACCCAAAGCCAGAAGTATAATTTCAAACAAAGAAGTGATGAAGAAAAAAATCAAACCCACCTATAAGAAAGAAAAGGGTAGTAGTTAAACGTGTTTAGAAAATCAACTAACAGAATATATATGTAGTAGCCACCCAAAGCCAGAAGCATAATTCTAAATAAAGAAATAACAAAAAGAA